TTCCTTCCTTCCTTCCTTCCTTCCTTCCTTCCTCCCTCCCTCCCTCCCTCCCTCCCTGATTGCAGATTTTCATATGCCATGGTCATCGCTAGATAGACCAGTGGATATTGACCTCCCCTATCCAACATGGCTTTGGTCCAAGCCCGGAACAGGCTCACTGTATCTGCCTGTTGGCTTAAAAATCATGCATTTGCTACTTGTGTAAATGCATAATGTTCTGAGATGAGGGCTTATTTGTTTATATCTCATGCTCTTCTACTACTAAACCTAAAACCCCTTCTCATTTCTGCTTAAAGCACCAGAGCTGACTAGTGAAAGGGATTGAGTAAGCGGGAGAAATCAAAAGGATTTTGCACAGCAATAGGGAACGGCACAAGCAAAGGATGCCTAACTTCACTTCTAGTGCATGAGTTTGTGCAAACTCTTCCAGTTTTTAAGTATCCCCTCTGAACTGGGGTCCCTCCAACACAGGCCAGGGAGCTTCCAAGCCAGTTCATAAATAACCCCAGTGTCCCCATAGTACTGCATTTGTATTAACCCTGATACAGCATCAGTAAGACAGTTCCCTGCCCCTGGATAAGTTTTCTGTATTAAGACAGAAAGAGCCTTATTGCAGATGCAGTGAAAAGGTTTAGCCTTTTTGCCAGAAGGGAATTTTTCTATTTTGCTGAGAAAGGAGAGCATTTGCCCTGCAAAGATATTCTATTATTGTTATTATTGACCTGGTCAAATTAAGCACTTTTTAAATGCCATTTATTTCAACAGGAATACTAATTCAGTTCTTCCTACTGAAAACAATGAGCCCAAAGAATATCTATATGTAGATATATATGTTCATACATACACATTTGTGTTTGTGTGTATGTGTATAAAATTATCTTCCTACATACTGACTATATGTGTATGTTTATTATGTGGATTTATTGCCGAATCTAAACGACTCATGAAGGTTTACAACATGGTAAAACAAAATCAGAACTAAAAACAAAACCCTAATTAAACATATGAATAAAATCAAAAGGCAGTCATTGGCACCAGCCCCCACTAATCAAAGCAATTCTGCCTTGGCAGGGTTACAAGCAGTCCAGGGTAGGAGCAAGCCTGGGGGAGAGATTGTTCCACAGGGTGGGAGCCACCTTGAGAAAGCTCTGCCTTGTGCACTCACACCCAAGATTTCAGCGCAGTAGTCATGTCCACTATCTAATCTCCTGTTTGCTGTAGACATACCACCATGCTGCACATAGTACAGCAATGGTGCTACTACCCAGGAAAAGATCATCCTTTTCTCCACAGTTATATACTGAGACTGAAAACATGTCCCATTTCCACAAAAATGGCAATGCCATCTGTGTTGCATTTAAGCAGCACTTGTTACTTCTTTGCTTTCCTTGCAGAATTCAAATAGCTCCACTGAAAAGCCATTTCATTCAATCAACACCTTGGTTATAGGTGCCTTTAGCAATGCTGCCACAAACACCAGGTTGCAGGAGAACATATGAGCTTATATTTTGGGTCTCCCAGTTACTGACAGAAAGCATTCCTGGGCATTTTGTATTACTGAGAAGAGAGAAAGAATCAATTGGGAGAGCAAGATATGAAGTACCTGAATGCACCTTCTTTTCTGTGTCTATTTTCTATCCTCTCAAACTCCTCCGATGCCAAAACCATCCCACTGTCTGTCTGATTATCCTGCAAGAAGCAGAAGCAATTGTTAAAGGGAGGAGGGAATATATAAGCTGTATATGCAGGCATGTTTCTTTTTGCACTTTTCCACATGTTGTAATGCAGTTCTCAAATTTTTAAAAAAACATGTATATTAGGGAAATGTCATATGCTAGGGAAAATCATTACCGATATTTAAATTATTACCATCTTTGGGCATATGAAAATGAGCACAGATTTCAGTGCAGACTTTTTTTAAAGCTAATTTATGGAGAAATAAGATGCAATGAACTTATGCTTGAAAAAAAACAGGAAAAGTAGACTGAGTCACCAAATCTAGAAAAGCAGACATTCATCCCTAGACGTGTCATCCTTGCTGAACATGGTTTCTGAACATGTTTCCAAACTGCAGAAGTGGCAGAACAACTTGCTGTAATGTGATGGAATAACTGCAGATAGAAATTGATGGGGGAGCAAATGCTGAAGTAAATGAGGAGGAGGAGGAGGAAGAGCAAATGATGAAAAGTGCATTGTAACCTTGTGATGCATGTCCCATCATTTTTTCATCATTGTGGATTGTTTCACACACTTATGTTGATGAACAGGAGGAGAAGCGTAATTCTTCCATTGCCCAGTGGTATTTCCTCCAATGACAGTTTTTAATTTATTTTCTCTAAGTATTCTATGAAGAGTGGCATCAGATTACAGGAGATAAATTATAGACACTGGAAGGATTAAGTACCTTCCCTAGTTGTGATTCTTCCTTATGAAAATGCCCTTTCATTCCGCTATTCACATTATCTTGGCTAAGCCTGAAGGAAAACAATCTTTGAACCTTCCCAGGGCATAATAGTTCTCTGTCTAAAAGCAACCATTTTTTCAGCTTTGGGGTTACAAATAGCTGGGATACCTCTTCATCTGAGGGTTTCCTGTGTGTAGGTGAACATGCACATGCACACCCACACCGAGCATTCATATATAGACATATCCCTGCGTATGTGTTGTCACTGATAGACAACACATGCAAACCCACTGCAATTTCCACCACTCCCAATGCACTTAGATAATTTTGTGGGGCTAGGGAAGCATGTGCAGAATGGAAATGGTGAAGATGGACTCTTGTGTATTATCCTCTGCCCAGAGATTACGCTCCAAACCAAATAGCTGCCAAGTGTACCAGGGAAGCTGGCATATAAGGAGAAGGGTTATATGTGCTACCACCCTGCCTGCAGGGAGCTGTCTACTGGGATAAGGCCACCATGCCACTCACCAACCAGAAGGAGTGTTGGGAAATGTGGGAGAGATTGCTGCAAAAGTGGAAACATTGTGGCTCCTTCACCTCTAGGTTCTGATATTTCCTCCTGAGGTTATTACAAGAACCTAACACTGTCAGCACTGAAATCATACTATATTACTGCCTCCCCCCCCAAAGTTATCCTTTTTTTAATCCAGAAAGGGCAATTGTGCCTGGCTGAATATAATGGGTCTAGTTATTGTCTCTCTTCTATATTTAGAAAGTTTCTTGGCCATCCACACAACCTAGTTGCAATTTATGTGAGTGTTGCATTATGAAAATGAAATGTGCCCATATATCATCTGAATAAAATCTTTAGATTACTGTACAAATATCTGTCACAGCAGATGGCAGCACCTAACTGATCTTGACTGATTTTGAGAAAGCTAAGCAGAGTCAGATCTTGTTTGTATTCGGATGGGAATCCACTAGGATATCCCAGGACTAAATTGGGAAGTTGAAAAATCATCAAGGCCAGGAAGAATGCAGTAGCAAGCTAATTTATTTATTTATTTGATTCATATGGCCGCCCATCTCACATATGTGACTCTGGGTGTCTTACCATAAAATAGAGAAAAACAAATAAAATACATAATATAAAATAAAAACACATAGCAGCTGAGCTTCATAAAATAACTCTCAACAAATCCAGGAGACAGGTTCTATCACATTTTTGGGGTCTCAGGCCCAGGCACAAAATCAAGTTTTTAGGGCCTTGTGAAAGTCCAGCAGGGTGGGGGCTAACTAATCTCAGGTGTAATAAAGTTCCACAGGGCAGGGGCCATGGCAGAAAAGGTCCTCTTCCTGGGCCCCGCCAGCTGACACTTTGTAGTTGGTGGTACCTGGAGCACGCTCCTCCTGCTGGACTGGATGGGATGGGTAGAAACAATTGAGGAAAAGATGGCCACCTAAGTAGCCCAGTCCCAAGCCATGAAGGGTGTTGTTTTGTATTGTTGAACATTTCTATGTAGTCAAAAGGATTCACTCGATTTGAAGACATCTTTATTTTTGTGGAAAAATAAATACAGACTTAATGGTTTTTGCATTTCCTTTTGTCACCTTTAAAACTTTCTTACTCACCGGATGTGCTTTATACATAGTTTGTGTCATAGGGAATTCTTCAAAAGTCTTTATTCTGGATGGACACCTGATTTGATTCCCACCAGTCAAACAGCCAGGGAACGACACACAGTTATAATATCTAGGAGAGGAAAATCAGAGAAGATCTAGTGTTTAGCTATGGTAGCCTTCATTTTATGCTCTTCCTTTAAGTCAAACTGGGTTAATTACAAATACTAACTTTGCAACAAATGATCAGCTTGGGCTGAAGGAGCTCTTTCTCTTGGTTGCATATTTAAGGCCTAACTGTACATCATATGAATATGTTTTCAGCAATCCCCCTTTTTAAGTATACAATTTTAAGGTGTTTAGGATTAAGAAAGGAAGACCAGCATGGGAGAATCAGTGTTTAAACTTTCCCAGCCTGCCAGGAGAAAAGCAGAAAAATTTGAGCAGAAAAATGAGTGACAGAGAAGTTTTAAAACCTCCCTCCTCCCACTGTTATTCTTCCATTCTGATTGCAGGTTGCTTTTCATTTTAAAATATAAGAACCTGCCTTATTCCAAGTTATACTATTTGTCCATCTAACACTGAATTATCTATCTGTAACTGTACAGGCAAAAGACATTTCAATCAATTGCCATCTAATACTGGATAGAGATGCCAAGGATTTTATGTGGGACTTTTGGCGTGCAAAGGATGGCTTTACCTGTTATGACACCCTTCCCTATATTAGGACACTTTTATGCATCTCTTCAGCACTTCTAACAAACAGCACAGAGAATTAATCTCTTGGCATTGGGGAGATCAGATGCTTTGATTGGAAATAGTGAATTTCTTTTCCTGTGACATAATTCTTGTCACTTTGTAATTCCAATTGGCAATTTCCTTCTTAGTGCTTGTGGTATCCATCTTTACTGATACAGGGAACATTGTTCTACAGGAAGTAGGACATGCTGTTGACTTAGTACAAAAGCACCCTCCGCACATACATATACCAATCAACCTAACCCAAAGAATTGTGGGGTGTATTTTAATAAACAGAATAAAAAAATCTCCCTGGAAAGATTTTGGATATGACTGAAAATATTGAGGAAAGTTTTAATGGTGTGAAAAAGATATGTGATCCTTCTAAAATCTTTGTTCAAAAGTTGGCTGACTTTTGGCTAGGCTCTTCTTCCTATCATGTTCTTCAGAAACCAATAGGAGTTTACCTTGCTGCAACATTGTGACAGTGTATCCTCATGTCAAATTCTTCTTCATCAGAATTCTGCTGGATGGAGGAAGCCACCTGGGAGAAGCCATCATCTTCAGAGCTCTGAGAGTCATTTAATGGGATATAATCTTTCCCTTCCTAATAGGATCCAGATAAATGTGTATGAGCAATGAGGATAGAGAACTTTACAAGTAGGAAGCAACAATGATGGAAATAAATACAAATTTTCTGTGTCCTCTTTGTTCCTTTAATAAGATGTACTTCAAGAACTTCTAAAGGGGAGAGAGCTGCCTATGGCTGTGGGGACACATACTTATGAGAGATAACATACAGAAGAATTTTTTGAGGAAAGTCAGTCAAACAATAATTCATCTCAGAAAAATAATACAACACATTAGTCTTTCCATCTCCTAACTAGAGGGAAGCTATAGAAAAGACCCCCTCTAGGTAATTCATCCCATTTAACTATTTGCATTATTTGTTATCAATTTCTTGGAATGTCTTTTCTAAGGGGGGCCATAGTATAAAATACCCAAACAAGCAAGAACATAGACTGTATATCAATTTTTAGTTTCAAGCTTCGTAACACTTGATACTAAGGCACCCATTGCAACCTTCTACTAACTGCTGATGGAAGATCTATTATGTATCACTTAGAAAGGCTGGTGAAATCACAATGGAGAAAAAAAAGCAGTTTGATGTAAATAAGCCACCCAATCTTGATGACATACAGTATCCTGGGGTGGGGTTGGGGACAGGGAAGAATATGAAAAAAACAGGGTCACAAACTGCTTGCAAGTCCAGTGGATTATCCGTAGAAAACATACTGCATGTTCCAATGTAAGTAAACAATGGAGTGCATGAAGAGTGGGGAAAAATGTACAAATAGTGGACAGTCTTTTAAAAACATTTCAGAATCACAGCATTCCATGTAAGAGGCCCAGCCAGAATCTAAACAGATTCAAAATAATAAAATTATAAATTATTATAAAACTGAACCTATTCAAGAATCTTCTGATCCTTCAACTTGGCCATGAACTCATGGATAGTGACCTACAATAACTAACAGTGTCAAAGAGAATACTAACAACTTGGGTGAGAAGAGTTTTGATTTTTAAAAACTCAAAACTCTAGTAATTTTCAGAGACTTCAAAATAGCATTACTGTAGTATCATGCAACATTTCTGATGCCAAATATAGCCTAATGCAGTTCTTATCCTCTGTCTGCTCCCAGCTATAATCGGGGACTAAATATTGAGTGTAGCCAAGATGCAGTCAATGCATTTTTTGGTCATGAAATTCTTGTACATGATTTGCTAATATAAGGTCTAATTATTTTCTGCCCTTCTTAGCAGGAAAGGAATCCACCTAGTAGCGCCACAAGTTAATTTTTTGCTTTGTGCTTTGTCTTCCTTACATAAATCATTTTAAAACGATGTAGAATATATATTTCTATTTCAAGTCATCTATTGTCTGCTCGTGGCACACAGCAGTCTAGACAGAGTAGGATGTTTGTGAGATACAATAAGCTGCATTTGTTAACAGGGACAGAGCAAAGAAGATTCTACATCAGAACAAAGGGCTGGAGTGTAAAGTGATTTCTTCCAACCTGATGATATTGCATAGGTTGCAGCAATATAATAAACAGTTTTTGCTTCTAGCTTTTATTTGAATATCAGGACTATGAAAACATTAAGTGTCTGTCCAATTACATTTGATCCGGAGATCCATAGCTATAACATTGTATTGAAAGCTATGTTATTTATTAATATGCTGCATATGTGCCATTCTCACAAATCGATAACCAACAGAAATGCTAGATCACACTAAGTCTGTATGTTTACTCAGCAATGTAATAATAATAATAATGACAACAACAACAACAACAACACCCTTTCCAGATATTGCTGATTATTGCAGCTTGCCTTTGTGTTGTGATAATAATTGAAAACTGACCTGTTGAACATTCTCCTGAAGAAGATCTCCCAGGATCTCCACCAAGTCAGAGAATGTTGGCCTTTCTTTGGGATCCCCACACCAACAATTCAGCATTATTCTGTAACTGCAAAGAACAAATTTTTGCATAAAGTTAGTCAGGTACAGATGAAATGGAAAAGCTCTGTAAAGGAAAAACCCATCCTTAAACTAGATGCTATACTTGAGACCAATTGTATTACTACAAAAGAGATGTAAATAGCATTTGTAATTCACCTCAGTCTCCCATACAAGAAGCTCTGAAACCTCCTGTAGATCTATATTTTGTTGATTTAGTATCTTCATTGTTGGCTATATATTGAAGTACTTTGACTCACATATCTGCAGTAGCATATTCTGGAGCTCTCATCCTGGTGCCATCTTTTAGTCTTTGGCAAAATTCCTCATTGATTTGTACTCCAGGGTAAGGGGAGGCTCCTGAAGAAGATGCAGTGGTATAAAGGGAAAGGGGAAGAAAAGAAATAATATATGGATTCCTGCAGCTGTACCTATCTACTATTTTGACACAAAACACTACATAAAATACAGGTATTTTTTAATAATTTCTGTAACGGAACCTATTTCACAATGACTGTTTTGCAGCTACTCAGAAGCCATTAAACAAGCTGAAACATCCTCTATGCAAAGGGTCAGAATCACAAGATTTGTTTGCAGTTGTTCAATAACTACTCAAGACATCTTCAAGCCATAATTTCTAAAATTGGCATGATATGGGAATGTTATGAACATTCTCAGAATTAAAGGTAAAGTCCCTTTCAAACTAAGTTGGACTCCTGATGACTTCATGGACACACCCATGTAATTTTCTTGGCAAGAATATCAAAGTGGTTTGTCATTGTCTTCCAGGACATTTTTTAATTTCAAAGTCTAGCTTATAGCCCTGGTACTCTTGTTGGTCTCTCATCCAAATACTATCCAGGACTGACTCTGCTTAGATTTTTGAGATCAGTTAAAATCAGCTAGGTATTGCCAACTAGTTGGGCCATAATTAAAACCTAGTTTATTAATATTGAGATGGCAGATCTTTGAGATATGCAGGATCCAGCTACAGACTTTGTAATTATGAAGCAAGTAGACTGGCAGAAGAATTTTGTAATTGATCACTTAAATGTAGGAAAAACAGGTGTGGTAGAAAATAAAGAAATGTAGGGAGTCCTGCAGTCTACTTTTAAAATTGTATGCTCATAAAAATGTAGCTAATCCCGTGAGTCCAAATACTCAACACTCACCTAGAGAGAAGATCTCCCACAATAGGACTCCAAAGGACCAGACATCACTCTGAGTAGTGTAAACTTTGTCAAAGATGCTTTCTGGAGCCATCCACTTGAGTGGAAGGCGGGCCTACAGGATAGCAGTAGAAGGGCACATATGTTACAGTCCAAGAAAAAAAAAACTTTTTTTTTTTTTAAAAAAGCACAGGAAAATCTCCAGAGATTCTATAGTGGTGTTTGAAGATGGGCAGCAAATAAGGTAAATAAGAAATGTTCATTTTCAAATAGCACAGGAAGTTGCAGCCTAGTATAATCTATCTGCCTAGATGCTTCAGCTGCATTTACTGTGAGTTCCAAAACAAGGCAGAAAACTGAAATTTGGCTCACATTTAAATACAAACTTTGCAGATTACTAAAATACCAAAGTGCTTCAAGATAACTTTTAAATATTAATTACTTGTTTCCTTAAAACATTTTTGTAGACCATAGGTTTGCAAGAAAAAAAAAGTCCTATCTTTTAGTTATTAGATTTTTTTAAAAAGTTGTATCAAGGGACCTTTATCAGTAAATGGAGATAGCATTTGACTCACAGATTGCACGTAAGCCCTGCCAAAGACTACTGATCCTATCAGTGGTGGGAAGCATGTGGCTCCCAGTTGATGTTGGTTTCCAACTCACATCAGCCCCAAACAGTATGACAATGGCAAGGGATTATGGTATGGCAGCTCAGAATTACCTATGGGGTTAGAGATTCTCCAAAGCAGGCATACTGTATATTTTCCATCTTGTACACTGAACCAAATACATACTTTGTATCAAGAAATTACATTAGATATCTGCTTCATTCCTTCAGGTACCTTTCTTTGGGATAGACATTCCCTCTGCATTGGAATGGCCAAAGGTCATTAGTAAATAAAATAAATCCAAAATCCATAGAGGCAATATCTTCATTAGACTAAATATTTACACAATAGGACTCATTCCACTATGAATTTTGGATTTTTTTTCCTCTCATGTTTAACACAGCTATATTGATTTTTATATGATAATACTGAAAGCAATTGACTGGCAACCAACTTCTGAAACCAATTCCTTTTTATCCTAACTACAACCCAGAACTCACACTGCCCTTCCTGACATAATCAGGGTCCTTGTAGATATCCCGAGCCAGACCAAAGTCACAAATCTTCACCACGTTGTTCTCTGACAATAAGATGTTCCGAGCTGCTAAGTCTCTATGGATGCACTATGGGAAAATGGAGGAGAGAGCAGGGAGAAATCAAAAAGAAATTAAATTTTAATGCAATGTGAAAAGGAAACTAAAACTAAAACTAGAAAAAGAAGAATGTTGAAGTCCCTATCAGGCCTCTACTATCAATGAAAGACATTAGTAAGAGAAGCAAGCATTCATTTGAAGAAAGTGGTAAACACCTTCTGTTCTCTCTCATTTATTTGGAAAGCTATAGATATGATTGTAAGGAAAAAAAGCAAGAAATGCTATCCTGGATCAAATCAAAGGTGTATCTGGTCCAGTATGTTGCATCTGATGGTGGGATGGCCAGATGCTTCCAGGAATTCCATAAGCAAACCTTGCTCTCAATAGAGTTACGCTGCCTCTGCTTGATCCAACTGAAACACAGTGGCACATGTGGGACCTATAACAAAACAGTGTGGCATGAAGTGCTCCTGTTCAATGGTGCAGCAGCCAGCCAGCCAGCCAGCCAGCTGTATCCTTTTCAAGGAAGTTGCATTTTCCCCGGCTACTTATCCATTCCAGAAGACAGCTGGACAAGTGACAAAAAGTGCCCCCACTGACCACTTGTATGGGAGAGCAGTATTGGCTACTCCTGCATTAGGCAGCACTGTTCCCCCATGCTCTACCACTAGATGCAGGGGAAAAAATGCTGTGAGAGATAGCTCACATGGCGGAGGTGCTGGGCAGTCACCACGTGACTTGTTTGTCAGTTGGGCATTTTAAAATATGTGTCTACCAGTCTAGACACATACCCAAAAAATGCAATGGCTGAAATGCCATTCCATTGCCTAAGCTGCTGACTAGTCGTGTAAAAATGAATTTCCCAACTGAAAGTCAGTTCAGAAGGGGGAGCAATGTTGGCTGCAGTTTAATGGGCAGGCTTTGTCACCCCATTTCTGTGGATCTGGCCCTGCAGGTGATCTGTGCAGTATGTAGGAAAACAATGTCTCTCTTTACTGGATAGTTCCCACCCAATCTGCAAATCAGTGTTTAACAGGCGGCTCAACCCATGGTCAGGCCATCTGTCAAAATTTGCATCCTACTTCAGCCCCATTCCTACTCTCACCCCATAAGGAAAACAGATTTTCCTCCACAGGCAGTGGAATCCACTAACTGCTTTCCCTATCTTTTCTCAAAGCTTCTCTATATTTATCTGCATCATGCATCATTCTGTGGATTACTGATATTTTCCCCCAGTCATAACTATTGGCAGAAGAGACATGATGGGATAGAGATGGGTAGGTAGACAGACAGACAGACATAGCAAGCACTTACCTTTCTAGAGGCTAGAAACTCCATTCCACGGGCAACCTGAAAGCTGTAGCAGATCAGATCTTCCATTGTCAGAGGGCTTTGCCATAAATCATCCACTATATAAATGTGCAAGTAAAGAGGTTACATTCTGTAGTTTGGCAGTGGAAAAGAAAAGGTTGCTTTCCCCAGGCAACAGGATATACTAATGCATTTGGGTGTGGCGGGTGGGGTGGAGGTTGTCCCACAGAAATCTTGCAAAGTAAAAGAGGTAGTGGAATAACTGGGATCAATGACTATTGTTGAGGACAAAGTTATTATCGATTATTAATTATTTAAAACAAACTCTGGGTGGCTGACAACCAAAGAATAAAAACAATATATACAGACAATAAACACAAGCCAAACAAAACAAAAACCCAAAAACCTCAGAACAGAAAAACCAGGCATCACAACCAAACTTCCAAATGCAGCCCACAACACTCTCCTTTCATTCCTATCTCGCCCTATCCCAACACTTTGGGGAAAAGCCAAGTGGGGCTGCTGTAGAAAAGGCACGCTTCCTCGGTCCAACTAGATGGCAACGTTTCTGGGAAGGAACCTGGAGTGTGGCGACTCTATGCAATCTAGTGGAACAGCAGATACCCTCAAGGAGAGGTAGTGTTGCAGATAACCTGGCCCTGTGCCATGTAGGGCTTTAAAGGTGATAACCAGCAACCTCAATTGCACTGGAAAAGAATCTGGAAGCCAGTGCAGCTTGTGCAGCAATGGTGTAACATGGGCAAACTGGGAGGAGCCCAATACTGGGTGAACTGCCATATTTTGGACCAGTTGTACTTTCTGGGTGATCTTCAAGGGTATGTAAAGCACATTACAGTAATCCAAATGGGAAGTGACCAAGGCATGAGTGACTGTGAGCAAGGGCTCCTGGTGCAGGAAAGGGTGCAATTGGCACACAAGATGAATCTGTGCAAACGTCCCCCTCAAGCAGGAGCCAGGAGTCTAGGAGGACCCACAAATAGTTCTGTACAATCTAGTTCAAATGAACACAATGGAGCTTGAATATATATATAACTATATGCTGGGTAGCAAGTGCAGTGGGGCTGAGAACATGGCCAGCCTTCACATAAGATGTAAGGTATCTCTCTATTAAATATCTATCCATAAATGGAAGTAAATCATTTATCTGTCAAGAGTTAGCAGTTTAATTATGAGAGACCTAACAGCAGATAGACATGAGTTCTGCTAAAGAAATCAAGAGTGAACTGAATATGTCTTTTTGGGGGATTTCTGCATCTGTTTCCTGATTGGAAAAAAAAAACATGAACAGTCAGATAATGAAATTGCCTGCCTGCAGGAAAGCTGTGTGTTTCTTTTTGCCAAGGTGCTACAAATGATTTAGCCATGGAATGGTACTGATCTTTTGTAGAATTATACAGTGCATTCGGAAAGTATTCAGGCCCCTTTCACTTTTTTCAATTTTGTTATGTTGCAGCCTGATACTACAATCATTCAAATTCATTTTTTTTCTCATTAATCTACTCTTAGTACCCCATAATGACAAAGTGAAAACAGAATTTTAGAAGTGTCTAAATTTATTGAAAAAGAAAAACTAAAATATCACATTGGTATAAGTATTCAGACCCTTTACTCAGTACTTTGTTGAAGCACCTTTGGCAGCAATTACAGCGAGTCCTTTGCGGTATGACGCAACAAGCTTTGCACACCTGGATTGGGGGATTTTCTGCCAT